AATTTGTGAACGTCCTATTAATTTAACAAAAAAACGTCTTAAAGACATCTTTAAAACGTCTAATGTCCCGATTTTGGACGTCTTATAGAACGTCCAAAAAACGACAAATAAGATATCCAAAAGGCGCCATGTATGAGACATTTTTTCCCGGGTATTTTAGTACAAATTTAGAAAAATTTAGTGCAAAATCATTATTAATTAAAGTAGATTGAGGAAAATATAATAAAATATTATTTTGTCTAAATTAATAAAATATTATTTTAATAAAATATTATTTTAATAAAATATTATTTTGTCTAAATAATAAAAGAAACACTTATTCGTGAGATGCGGCGTGGTTTCGATTCTGTCTGAGGCGGCTATCATCTTTCTCTAGATGACCATGCTGTTGCGATGCCTAAACTTCAACGATCGTACGGGAACTGGTGATGCCACTACACTGTAACGATACCTTGGTGGATTATATTTACAATATACTCTTATATTGTTCAAAAATGTAATGACATATTTGTTGGCAAATATTTCAAAGGACGTAACAACAATCATAATGCGATTAATATAATTATAAAAAGAGTCTAGCCATAACCTTACTCTGTCAAAATATTGCGAGAGAGAAAGAAGGAATATTCTCTTTCTTTTGTTAGCATGTTGTAGGTTAAACTTTGATTACTTATACAACATTGTATCAATATAAATTAAATATCGGAACAGTATAGTCTCAATTGAAATCTCAGCTTGATTTTTTCAGTAGGGTATATAATATACATACCCCCACACACACACACACACACATATATATATATATATATATATATATATATATATATATATATATATATAAATATATATATGAATATTCCAAAACATTTAGAAGAGATAATTTTGAAATGTGTTCACAAAAAATCTCAAAGGCATCGTAAAGATGTCTTTTTGATAAAAATTCAATAACGTCTTAAAAAAGACATCTTAAAGATGTTTTTGAAAAGATGTCTTTAAGACTTTATTGAAAGATGTCTGTATGACGT